GGAATCAGATCTCTTGGCTGAAAACAATCTACTTCGCTGAGTCACGGCAAGCGGTTGAGCAATTTGCAGGGACGGGGCCACAGTCACTTGCCAGCAGGAAAAAATGTTAAGGTGTGGGGAGAAAAGAAGTCTGCATTTCAGAGGTGAACTTCCAGGGAAAAGGAAGGAGTAAAGCCGTTTGCTCAGACACACACAGCTGATTCCTATCCCTGCTGCTTGGATAAAGGCTCGGTCAGCATTAACCCTTCAGGTGGCACGGTATCAGCAAGCTGTTGTCATTAGGAGATGGGGTTCTGACGTGGCAAAATCTTTGCTGGTATAACAATCTGCATCTCTCGGAAAGACTGGTGATGCTGAGCTATCTGTAGCTTCCAAGAATCCGACCCCATCACTTGACTTTGTAGCAAAGCCTTTTAAGAACATAACTGCTGTGGGGCCTCAGGAAAACGACACATACAACAAATCAGTGAGCTGGGGTAATTTGTGCCAGTTGTAACCTTGGCATCTGTAATAATAAGGCAAAAGAGGTCTGCGTTTTACCAAGACGGACAAACGAGTGGCTGTACACCTACTGAAAATACCTCACAGCAAATACGGACCTGCTGTTGATTTGAACCAAAAGAGATTTTGGCAATTACCAACAAATTACACACATCGGCTCGTGTTCCTAGAACATCATGGGTCAGAAAAGCAGAACGCCGCCCCACACCAGCCAGAGGCCGAGCTCTGTAAGCCCCTTTTCTCCTTCAGCACGCATCGCTCCGTAGCAGGAATCCCAGCCCCGCTCCCGCTTATTCATGAGGCTGCGTATGCAGGAGTGGGGAAGGGGGCGCCGAAGAATTTCTTTATGAAAAAAAGAAAAAAAAAAAGCAGCCCCATTCCTGAGACGCCGTTGCTATGGGCCTGCGGGGTTCACAACAGATGGCAGCGAGAGCCATCCCGCGCCTGGCTCTGAAGCTGTCCACTCAAGCATACCATTCGCATTCCCTGCATACCTCCGGCCCCGCCGCTCGGCACAGGGCAGCCCGTCCCCAAGATGCAAGACACAGAGCTGGGATGCGAGCAGAGGGATGACATCCAGCCCTTCCACCTCCTCTGCCTTTCGCCGTCCTTCCCGGGCGCTGCGTTTTCCCACAGTCGGGTCGCGATATCCGATTTCAACGCTTTGCTTTTCAGGGTTTCAATCACTGGGAGATTTGTTAATTGGAGCCTCGGTCCGGGAGGCTGCTGATTCCCGCATCCTTGCGCTGCTCTGGGTCAGGGTGAGAGGCAAAGGAGCCCCTGAGGGGCTGATCCAGAGCGGGGCTGTGCACCTTCCTGCTCAGCACGCCTCAGGACCCCTGCTTGTGGTGAGGAAGGCGGGAGCGAGGCAGAGATCCTCTTTGCTCCGGGGGACACCATCACATCCAAATCGCGTTAGGGGAGCACAGTTCAAAGCCAAGGTCACTGCCACAAGTTCTGCTGCCTAATGGGTGTTATTAACAGCTAATAAGTGTAACAAAAAGAGGGAAAACGATGTAAAGAAGTAAAAGAAGTACCAGGTGGGGTAAAACATGATTTACACAGCCTAAATGCCCAGGCATACAGAAGAGAGACACCAGAAGCAGCAGCAAGGAGCTCCAGGCACAGATTTCTCCCCTGCCGACTCCATCTAGTCTTACATGGGCCAAGATCATCAGCCAGAGCACCCGAAACATGCAGGGACCAGTCGAGAAACCCGCTGCCATCCCTGCTGCTGGGGAGGCCATGGTCACAGCCTCGCCCTCTGCACGCTGCCAAACCCTGCCAAGGAACCAAAGCGTGGCTCTGGCTGCACAGCAAAACCTTCCCGCGTCCTGGGGCACAACCAGGCCACCGAAAAGTCAGGCCGGCATCGCTCCCCCACACGGCTGACACTTAATCGTACCGTTCTGGTCTCCTAAACCCAAACAACAGCCGTGTTGGCTCTGCAGCAAGGAATTTGAATGCGGTTTGCCTGTCGCTTGCTGATCACACATCAGAGAGGGCTCTTCGGGGCTTATTTGCATTTGGCTGCTGGAGTCACTTTTTTCCCCGGGGTTCGGGTGAGGATGGAGACAAAGCGGCAGATGCTGGAGGCTGCCCACGAAGCGCGGTGCCGGCCGTGTGCAGCTGCCCATGGGCATTGTGCAGGGCTGCTAGAGGCAGCCTGGGAAACTCACTGCTCATCCGCGGGTCCAGCCCAAACCCTTCGCCCCTCTCCTTTACGGCCGAGACTCCTGAACACTGCCATTGCAAAGCACCGGGGGATAAAGTTGTTTTCTGCTTCCTTTTTTCCTGCTGCAGACCAGGGGCAAGTGTTAAGATTGAGGAAAGAGCATGACTTTTGCTAAAAGTCAGCTTGCGCGGCCGCATGTGCAGGCTTTTCTGTGCAGGCATGCAGGAAATTCTCCCTCCCTCTCTCACACACAATGGTTTAGATTTGGTATTTATGAGCTTAAGTTAGAAATAAAGGGGGAATGAAGTTTCCAGGTGGCTCTTTCTTTCTTTAATCTTTCCTACATTTCTCCCTCTCTTTTCTATCAGTCTTTAATCAAATTCCTGCTGTTACTTTTATTGAACAAAGGAGATGCTGGCACAGCCCTTAAGTGCCTGTGCACACGGGTTGCCCTCTAACAGCCAAGTTGCTACGATTTCTTGTTAAATGGTCCCTGCAGGCTCTAATTTCTAAAAAGCAGAAAGAAATGTCCAGGCTTTGGCAACTGAAGCAAATGTTAATATCTGGTGTTTCTTCAGCCACTTGGGTTTCTGTGAGGCACTGCCTTTAACCCTTTGAAGGCTTTGTAAAGTCTTGTCTTGAAGAGACCATAAAACAGACCATCTAGAGCACTAACAGCACCCCCAGGTGATTATTTTTTTCCAAATCACTTAAGTGTAGTGACCACCAAATCTCTAATTCAGGCCACTAAGGCCTGTAATTCAGATCTCAGAAGCACATTCACCTTCCTTCACGTTACATGGCACAGAGCATTGAAGCACACCGCTCAAATCATTCCCAGGACAGAGAAGAAATATGCATCTGGATCATCTACAACCCCATACGAAGAACATGGGAGATGTCAAACCACTCAAGCGGGCAGTGGATTAGGGCCCAAGGTAATCTGTTGCCTGTACAAGACTGTCCACTGCTAATTTGTAGCTGAGCTCTTGGCTTGCGATACGGTCTGCACGCAACTCCCCTCAGGAGAGAGTCACAGCACGTGGGAGATGCGAGCAGGGAAGAGCTGGTGCCCTCCTCTGCAGAGCTCCCGGCAGCCTTGCGGCGCATGGGTCCTCTGGGGGAGGGCAGGAGGTTCCTCACCTCACTGCAGCCTGGGAACATGCCCTTCTGTGCAGGCAGCAGGCTGTACCGCAGGGTGATGGGATCTGTGCTCCAGAACAGCCTCTTCCCATGTGCTGCGGGGCTCGTGCAGAGCAGGTTTGCCCTTAAGAGCGTGTAGTTAAGCAAATGTGTGCTCCTGAGAGCAGGCAGATGCACGCAGGTGGCAGCATACCTGTGCCCACCACGCACACACCTTCCTCAGGCTGGGCAGTCGGCTTGCGAGAGGGCAGTGGGGACTGAGGACGGACAGCACGTGGTCAGTCCCTCCCCAGCCACACATTTCTTTGAATTCAGTTTTAAAGAGCTGGCTCGTAAGCAAGGCAAAAGGAGGGAATTTGGGGCAATCCAGAGCGATTGGGAATTCGCTACTGCAAGCAGTTCCAGTTTTACTGACATTGCTCTTTAAATACTGGACTAATGAATGCATATTAAGCAAGGCAGCGTGCAGTACTCACAAGACGCTGCTGCTCCTGTGACCAGAACACTCTGTTTCAAGTTGCTTTTCTTAAGCAGATAACCTACAGCACAAAAATACCCCTCTTTACATAGACAGGGACCCAGACCCCACTCTTCCACTAGAACCACTTCAATTGCACTGCCAACCTTCACTACATGGGCTGGATCACCACACTGTGAAAAAATAAGGTAGAGTGATTTCAGCAGCTAAAGATTTGGTCCATATTCACCCACAAAAAGCACAGACAAAGGAAACCGAAACTTTAACTTTAAAGATACCCTAGTAGCAATGAAAGAGGTAATTAGATTAAAGATTAGTTAATGAGTTTACTAAAGGAGTTAATGTCTCGGGAAATAATCAAAATCAAAGTTCAGTGAACTTAGTGTTATGATTCACATCCAACCCAACAGGGCGTACAGCTGTGTGTAATACCGTACAGATCTTGAACAAACTTAAATTAGCGCAGGCCCATATAGGAGCTATACTCGTTACCATCTCATCAGTCTCTTCCACATTCTCTTTCTGCTACCTGCAATGTGACTGCACGGATCAAACATCGCTATATCCCACCCTGCCTGGCTAGCCTGCCTATATCAAACATCGTTGCAAAGTATCAGCCTGGTTTGACACCCACTTTAAGCAACTTAACTGATAAAAGGTGAAGACCAAAAGGAGCACCATTCACCTGAGCAGAGAGCCTTCTGGCCTGAAAAACTGGAAAATGTGCCCGCCACATCACTGTGTGTGTGCGAGTCTGATCCTCTGTTCATGAGACTCAGCATCTTAAAAGCAGGGTATGATTTTTACCCACTGACACCAGGGGAGGTAATGGCCTTAAACATCCCCTCCAGCTCCGGAGGCTCTCCCAAGTTCACCTCCCTGCCAGCTTCGGGCACTTTTCTAGCACCAGATCGGCTTACACGGCTGCACACCTTAGCCAGTGGCAGCACCTGAGCAGCGGCACAGCGCTGGCTCCCCACCCGCTCGCTGTGAGCTTGCTCGCTCACCACAGCAGCTTTATCACCCCCACAGCACCGCCTGGCCACTCGTCTGCCCTGAAGGCTGTGATGCTCGTGATGTTGAGCACCAAGAGGATCCTTCAGGCTCCTGTCCTCCCTCTCCCGAAGCCCTGCCGCGAGGTCTGGCTGCCCCTGCAAGCACAGAGCCGTGCCCAGGGTGCTCTGCTAGCGAGGGGCTGCTTACCTTGCAGGAGAGCCGACAAAGCTCAGGTGTTCCCATCCCGGCGGAGGAGGCAGCCTGCCATTTGGGGAGCGCAGCCCTGGCAGGGGGAACGGCACAGCCGCCTGGGGGAGCGGAGCTTTAGAGATAACGCGGCGCGGGTACAGGTGCTGCGCGCAGAGCCACCTCGGCGCTAATCCCGCAGTAAAAAGCAGGAGGTTTGCTCAGCACAGGCAGCTCAGATTACTGCCCTCCTACCAAGCAGTCGTCAGCAGGCCTGACGGACAGGAGCAGAGAGCGTGAGGAAAGGGGAAATGTGCGGAGTGAAAGTGCCGGCAGCTCTGTCCTGGCTGCCGCGCATCCGCCGCTGCCCCCCTCCTGTAATTAACGCTGGGCATTTTGGGGGGAGAAGGGAGAAAAGAAACTTACATTTACTAAGCGTTTTCGGCCACCCCAACATTATTTAGTGTTTCTTTTGAAACTCACCGCCCTAATCTCATTTGAAGAAAGCATCAGTGAGGGCTGGGGATAAAATCCTGTAGTGGAGGAGAGGGGTAGCAGGGCCAGCAGGCTGTTGCTCACTGCCCCACACAGCAGGGCACAGTAATTCAGCTGCAGGGTCAGGGTTGAAAACGCTGCCCACAGCGGCTCCCTTCTGCCAGCCGGCAGCTCTGTGGGTCCCCCTGCACATAGCTCTCCGCATGATGCCCACGGATGCCCAGCAGAAAACCTGCCACGCTGGGCATATCTGGAATAAGAGGCCATCAGCCTGACACTGCCTGGCTGCAGGAGGCTGGGCTACCCTGTACCCGGCCGGGTTGGCTGAACATCCAGGAGAACGCTGACAACAGGCATTAAATAGATGTTACATGGTGTGCTCAGTTTGGGGCTCCTCACTACAAGGAGGATACTGAGTTGTTCGAGCATGTCCAGAGAAGAGCAGTGGGTCTGGTGAAGGGAGGAGAAAACAAGGCGTAGGAGGGACTGAGGGAACTGGGGCTGTTCAGTCCCGAGGAGGCTGAGGGCAGACCTCACCGTGCTCCCCAGCCTGAAAGGAGGCTGCAATGAGGAGGGAGCCGGTCCCTTTTCTCAGGTGACAAGTGATAGGACCTGAGGAAACTGTCTCAAGTTGCACCAGGGAGGTTTAGATTGGACATTAGAAAGAATTTCTTTGTGGGGAGGGTGGGCAAGCATTGGGTTGGGCTGCCCAGGAAAGTGATGGAGTCCCCATCCCTGGGGGTGTTCAAGAAACGTGTGGACATGGCACTAAGGGACATGGTTTAGTGATGGGACTTGATGATCCTGAAAGTCTTTTCCAACCCAAGCGATTCTATGATTCTATAGATTAAATTAACCTGTTTTTCCTGAAGGGACAAAATGTTTTATTCCAGGCTGTTAGGAATGTTTTAACAATTCATGTCAATACAGAACAGTCCTGTCTGCCTCTGGGTCCTGCACTGGCAATTTAATTCTTGAACCACAGATGCAGTGTGTCCCAGTCTCCCCATCATTCTAGTCAATTTATCAAGTCTTCAGAAAATACTCTTCAAATTTATGAACCTGTTTGCTTTTGTTATTCTGAACTTCTGTTTCTAACAGTTACAGCCTTTTTTTTGTCTTCTTCGAGATTAATTTAACACTGCTATAGGTGTGACTGTCCCTGTGAATGGCTAGTTTTAATTACTGGTGAAATGTCAATAAGAAAGCTATTTGTGTTTGTATGAAGTCTTTGATGTCTGGGGGTTTCAGAACAACTGATAACAACTAGTGACTGTTATGGGATACTATGCAAGCCTCTGATATCTGGCCAGGTGGCCAAGAGATTAAGAAGAAGAAAAAAAAGAAGCTGAAGGATGGCTAGGAGACAAGACCTGCAGGGGATGCTGTATAAACTTGACACGGCACCAAGGAGTACAAAGGGGAAGGACAAGAAAAAAACTTGGAGAGGAAGCCTTCAGCATGAAAGACCCCTAGAGACCCCCAGAGGGACCACCGGAGACTGATGCACATGCTCCAGTAGGAGGGACTGGACCCCAGAAGCTAATTATAATAACCTATTTTTTTAAAGTAGTAATGAATATGTATTAGCCTAGGAGCATAAAAGTCCGCTACTTGATGTAACTGGTGTGCATCCTGGTGGAGCGGAGACTCCCGGTGCACCCAGTGCTGTTTGCTTACCTCTATTCTTTTAATAAATCCTATTTTTTATTTAATCCTATTTTGAAGACTGAGCCATTTCTAACAAGGCCAAACAGAACACACTGTTTCACTTCCACTTCACCCTAAATATTTTTTCCAGTTCAGCTGTTAGATCAAAACATATATTATTCACCATCTTGCCTATAATTTTTACCACTTTTTCTCTGCTGCAATACTCCCTTCAGCTCAGCATCACCCTCTTCCACGCAGTTAAGTTCCTGACGCCCTAGAGGGAAGGAGAGCTGTGTCTCCCGTTTATAAAGGAGATGAGTGAGGAGTAATGCCACATAAAAATATCTATCAGCAAGAGGAACTGAACCCAATTCCCCAGGGAACACCAGCACCCTGGCAGAATTCCCCATCGCCCCAGGACAGAGAGAGGATGGCTCTCTCTTGCTGCCTCCATTCTCCTCCTGCAACTCCACCTCAGAACAGCAGTAATCTTAAGAGGCCCGGTAAACAGCAGACTGAGAAGTAACCTGAGAAGAGTTAACTGGCTCTTTTCAGCCTCGGAAAGCTGTATTTTTGTAACCAATATTTCTGATTTTAATTAGCTTAGGCACTGTTTAATAGAAAACAAACATTATGGTGTATTTATGCAGGTATAACCTCCCCGAGAATGCTTTACATTCACGTTTCGAAGGCTGATGCCATCTCGCCTCTAACGCCAAAGTCAAAGCAAGCAGAAAGCTGAAGAAAGGGGTTTTGAACAAAATTGCTCTATATTCACTGATGCAGCAGCCAATGTTTGGGCCAGGCGCATCCATGTGACTGCTCTTTGTCCAACTGCATTTGTGCAAGGGAGAGAGGCTGCCTTTCGCTAGGAACAGGAAGACCTGTGCATATAAAAGACCAAACGATACAGCCTGTGCAGTTTCTCCTCTTCATTATTCTTTTGACTGAGATACTCCATTCATCCAGCCCCAAGGGAGGAACAATGCCATAGGGTTCGGATGACCCATACAAGCCCATTCATTAAAACACGTGAAGTAGTTACAGCGACCACTTCACCCCAACGTCTGTTTTACAGCAGTAAATCCAGGCAAACTCCACTTGTAGCAGGAGGATTACGTTAGCTTTCATTAGCCTTTCCTGACCCTATCTCTCTTCCAAAGGAAACCTTGGATCAAGCAGTAAAAGCCTGGACAAGTTTTTGAGAAATTGTTTTATATTCCAGGGTAATTAGCTCAGCTGAGCAAAGTAAATATTTAACCCAGCTAAGGATATGTATACACCAACACATATCCATGTCACGCAACTTACAAATCCCTTACAAACCAACCATATTTATAGGCAGCTCTTGAAATCAAAGCCATGCAACTGGAGCTTCTCACAATAAAGATGACAAAACGTACTTATTCTCACTGCTCCCCCAGCAGCTGCACTGTGAAGCTGTCATCCTGCAGTCCCGTGCACCTGGACAGGTAACCAAAACCTTGTGCAAGTCCAGGTATTTGCCCCATGGTCTAAAGGTCAGCCTAGACACAATCCCAGATAGAGAAGAGAGGCCCGGATCAGTCAGAGAACACATGCTTGCTTGTTTGCATTTCCATACTATCGTGATCTGATCCAACTCCAACCTAATCCTCAGGAAATTCCAAAAGAAGGAGATTCACACCCTAAAAAGCACTTTGTCCAGCACTGGCAGAGATTTCCCAGCTTTTCCAGTGTCACTTTCTGACAAATCAAACCCCAGCCCGATTACTGCCTGAAGAAGGCAAACTAATCCAAATGCACTTGGTGAAAGAGGCAGCTAATGCAGAGTGGCAGTGGCTAGAAATTGTTGTGTTTCTAAAACAGGCTCAGGTGAGGGGTCAGCCTTTAATGTCCTATACAGCCTAACACTTTACGGTGGCCGGCATCTTTTTTTTTAAGGCATTTTCCCACTGTCCCCATCAGACGCCTAGATCTTTTTTTCAAACATGGTATCTAGATCTTCTCCACGCTTACCATGTTTCACTGTGGGAAATTTCCTAGAAGCCTGGCAGCCCTAAGCTGTAGCTAATTAAATCCTAGACAGTAAGCCCGTTGCCAGTGATTTCAAAATTACATTCTGTTCATCTCTTAGCTGTCTGCCCTGTGTTTCATATTGACCTTTCCTAACGATATAGGGACTGCAAACGTTTTGATGAATGAAGAAAACTCCTCTAATGAAATAGTGATGCTTGAGATAGTTAAAAACTTGACAGTTTGATCCAACACACGGACAAATTTTAAAGCCTTTAGTTAGCTGGGAACCTGCTGTGCAGATCTCAGAAATGCTGTATAAATGATATGTCAGGCCTTTGGCTGATGGCGCCCATCTGCATCACCTGAGGACCTGTCTCATCACGTAAGACTTCACTGAAGGCTCATTTTTGTGTGTGTTTAAAAGATGCACTGTAAAAGAGCCCCAAAACTTCATGGAACAGAGCCTCAGCAACACCTGGCAGACAGGAGACGGGAGCAGGGGCAGAGTAGAAAGCTGTGGAGGAATTCACAACTCAACATACAGCAGCGCGAGCCACAAGACCACCCTGCCAGTTGCTAATGCCAGCTTTGGCCTCCCCAGCTGTCAGTCTTACAACTTCCATGTGCACCAAACCTCCCTTTCTCCCATTCCCCCAGTCATCATCGCTGAGCAAAAACTAGCCCCAGCACAGAGCAGCTCTTTGGAAACACGCTCCTACATTGCTGAAGAGCGGGGAGGGAGCCAGTGCCTGTTCTAATTAAATTTCATTCATAAAACTTGGATTTATTTGATGCAATTTTTTGGCACGCTGTCAAATACGACACAAAATTACATTAGTGTCATAAGAGGAAAGGATTAGTCCAAAGAGTTCTTTGAAGAACTGTGTTGGCACTTGGCTTTTTGTAAAAATGCCAGCAGCTTCCCCTCGCGCTAGGAACAGCCCATTTTCTCCTGGTCAATGAGGGAAATCACTGCTCAGTGAGGGTCTGAGCCAAAGCCTTTCTGAGTCTGTGGGAATCTTTCCACCAATTTCCACGGCCCTGAGCCTCAGATGTCAGTCGGACTGACATCTTCCTCCCACACTTCCATACTTCCCTATGGTCATTTATCAGCTAGAGTGAAAGTCTGTTTTTTGTTTGTTTTTCCATTTTTTTAAAGAAAGTCTTATTCATAGCAATTGGCAGCTGAAAGAAAAATCACTTTATAGCTATGACATGGGTATAAGTGTTAGAAAATGGATTAGTTTAATTCCTAATCTTGCCAGAGGGGTCTTAAAATGAGTTAATTGGGTC